AGGGGGCAAAGGATGTGAAGGGGTGGGGGCAGAAAGAGGAGACGAAAGCAGACGACAGAACATTGCTAGAGAACAGGAAAAGAGGTGAAAGGAAGAACATTTTTCGGTCGCTACAGGGATTCGAACCCAGGACCTTTGAATGAGAGGCCAACACTTTAACCTCAAGGCCACGGGAGCCCCCGCGTAAAACATTAATATAGAGCATCATCATGAATGCCTTCCATCCCTAGCAGGGTATAGGCCACAAACAAGCTCCTTCCATTTATCTCTGTCCTGGGCAATCTTTCTCTGTCCTGGGCCATCTTTTCAAGCTTGTTCCAAGTGTGCTTTTCTCTCTCTCATGTCCTAATAAGAACAGTTACATTAATTTGTTTTTCTTTCACCCCTCTAGGATTTGGAGGAGCTGACCAAATGTGCCGTCCCAGGCGACATCCTGCTGGACAGGGATTTGGAACTGGACCAGCCTCTTGGTAAGTGGTTATCTTTGTTTTTGTTTTAGTAGAGGTTTTACGGCGCTCGCAACTGCATAAGGTCATATGAGCGCCAAGGGGTGGATGTCAACAGAGAAGTCCTTACAGGGAATCAAGCTTACTCTGCTTACCTCTCTAGCTTCAACAGCACAAAGTCTGTTTCGACTATCAAGGCACCCCGGAAATAGCAGGTCACAAGATTGTGATAAACATACAAAAGAAGTAGAGGAAAATGACGCTAGTAAGGATTAGGAAAGAAAAAGCAGCAGTTCCCTGTTGCAGTTCAGGCACAGTTATGAACATGACGTTGATGAATCAGCCCATTTATGATTCTACTGTACATAAGCACTCAAGATGTTAATGCCCCCTCCCCCCCCCCCTGCCTTTGGGAATGGCCTGAAGACACTAAGTGGTAAGAAGATGTTATGTGTACATGATGTAAACGCAAAGATGTGTGTCTTTTTTATTTTTGTAGGTTCTTGTTTGTTTTTGTTGTTGATGTTTTATTTGTTTGTTGATGTGTGTTTAATCCTTTTTAGATTTTTTTTAAAGATCAGTGTATTTTAGTCAGAGCCGCCTATAAGTTATGATGAAAAAAGATGAGAGCATGAAAGGGAGAAGCCTCATACGATTTTATCAGTACTCGCACTTTGTACACACGTACGCGCACCTGTGGGGGAGGGAGAGAGAGAGAGAGAGAGAGAGAGAGAGAGAGAGAGGGAGAGAGAGAGGGAAGAGAGAGAACGAGCGGAGGGAGCGAGCGAGAAAGAAGGAAGAGAAAGGGAGACGAAGAGTGTGCGGGCGCCATGTCTATTCCCAGAATATTCAATTTGTAACAACGTCATGTCATGTAGCCTACAGGTTGTTGTTCACGACTTTCCTCTTTTGAAAACAAAGCCACCAGCTTCTTTGGAATTGGTTTTAGGCTCCTCACAACTGCACACGAAACTAGAGTTCGCTTTTAGTAAGTGTTTTCGATGGCAACAAGGCTAGAGGACGACCGAGAAAGACCTGGATAGATGGAGTCGGGAAACATTAACAACTCAAGGCATCCCCGTGACCCAAGCTCTCCGGCTGGTGGCAGAGAGGCGTCTCTTTCTTCCCGCGACACCCAAAAGAGTATAAGCGGCGGATAAAAGTAAAGTACAAGTAAAGTTTTATGGCACCTGAGACACAATAACGTCATATAAGTGCCGAAGATTAGAGGTGTTTCAAGAGAGCAACAAACACGAAAAAGAGAGAGGAGATCTTTGACAGGAAAGAAGAAGCAAACCACACCCCTTTCTACTGCTACTCATTGGCTTCTTCTTACTGCTGTCCTTCAGCCACACCCCTGATCTTCTGGTAGGAAAGATCTACAACTAGCCTT